AATAATAATGCTATTATTTTATATCTAAGACACATGTTGTAGTTGTTGGAGTTTTTTTTTCTCCAAACTTTATGGTAGCTCATCTTCAATTGAAATTAATAATATCAAAAAATGATATTACTCATTGTTTGAAGAGTATTAAACTAAAACTAAGCGAATAGTGAAAATTTTAACTTCATGAGAAAATGTCAATGAGTTAAACTCGGATAATCTAAATATTAGCATTTTTTTTAGTGATCATGACTCATTTGTGAATGATAAAATTGAAACACAAACAAAGTCTGAAATATAGCTCTACTTAGAAGAAAAAGTTTTGTCTAGGAGTGCTAATTTTGACATTCTTGAATGGTGGAAAACAAATGGGATCAAGTATCCAATTTTGCAAAAAAATGCTTAGGATGTTTTGATAATCTCAATTTCAATGGTAGCTTCAAAATTTGCATTTAGCATTGGAGGTCAATTTTTGAGTTCTTATCATTATAGGCTCCATGAATTTACTCTAGAGATACTTATGTGTGTACAAAGTTAGTTGAAATACAAGTAATAAGGTAATAAATAATTAAATTTTATTTATTTAATAAAAAATATTTTATTTTTTAAAATTTATAGACTTGGAAGACAAACGTTATATGGAGAAGTTGATTCCGATGATGAGATTAAATGTCTACAAATTTATTTTTAAAATTTATAGTATATAATTTAATCTATAATTTTAATCTAACTAATTTTTGTATAATTTGTTCACAAGTCTTCGAGAATATTGTTAATACATAATCATAATGTTGAAATTTTAATTATAACTTTTATTATGTTGATTTTTTTTTTTTTTAAGTTTGTTTACAAGAATTAAATGTTTTGTAATCTTTATTTATAAAAATTGTTATGTTAGATTTTTGTAATGTTAAAAATCTGACAAATTAATATTATGTTTGTTTATATGAAATGTTATCTCTTTATTGATTTATTTATTTTATGCATGAGTAAAATACGGGTCGCAAGTATGAATATGGATACACAAATACTCGGTGGGTATTGAAATGAAGATTAAAATTGTTATCCGTGAATGTGAGATTGGATACAAGTATTATTTTTAAACATGGGTATGGAGACGAATATTATAAAACCTTACACAGATCTTATCCATTGTCATCCCTATCAATTATGCAATTTATTGTTTCACTAGTTGTCTTTATTGAAGTGAATAGCTTCAAAATTTAAAATTTAAAAAGTTTTTTTTTTGTTACCAAGCATAGTTAATAAAATTTGAAGAATATGAAGAAAAAAAAATGAATGTTTAACAATTGTTGTATATTTTTTAAAGATCTTTTTGGTTGGCATATAATCATACCTCTCAAACACGTGGTTTGATATTTAATTCCTAAATTTATATGTATCAAAGAATATATGTTGAAAAAAAATTTGAGTCTTTTAAATGAATCTCAATCAAGAGATTAGCCTCTAATTATCCACAAGAGAATACCTCATATTTAACAAAAATAAAAAAATAAAAGGTCTAGTATATAAATTTATATTGGAGAAACAAAATGTGTATCCAAAGAATTGATAAGTTGATAAATGGAAAGCTTGCAATAGTTACAAATTGATTATGTACCCTAACTAAGAAAAGAATTTGACGTGACAATTTTACGTCCTACGCCTACAATTTGATAGATTATAAATTAATATTTACTCGTATCTACACCCGTGCAATGGACAAGGAGACATATCTTTTTAGTTAATGAGATGTAAATTTATTCTTTTCATAATAAAAAAATTTAGCCTAAGTTTGGCCACTAATAAAAAGAAATTTGAGTATAAATGAAAGATTTTACAGGAAGAGACAGACTAAAATTTTATTTAATTTATCGTAAGAGTTATAAGTTGAATCTAAGACCTAATGTATATTATCTCAATCTCATACCACTAAGTCGATGTTAATAATAATAGTCTAATCAAGTTAATAATTTAATTTTGTTGATTAAAATATATTTGTATAGTTTATTTGAAGAACTTTATATATCTAAAAAGGAAATTAAATTGAGAATCAAAAGTAGAAGAACAATTTATATCCAATGTAAGTGGAGGTGTGTATTTTCGTTTACGATTTTGGGAAAGGAAAGAGGAGGAGATTTCGTTTTTGCCTTTGGTTGTTGGTCCTAGGATTCAATGTTTTTTTGTTTTGTCTTACAAAAGGGAAAGTAGGTAACTTGCTTTTTCTTGGGTTTGGGCTTTTCTCATGTTTCGTGGCTTTGTTATATTGGGCTTGCCTCTTTCCTTTTTTTTCTTTCATGATTTATACATCTCATTTTTTTTATAACTATACCTTCTTTCTTTTTAAAAAAAATATCTTAATTTTATTTTTTAATTTTACACATTCAATTTTCAATTTAGCGTTTTCTCTTACTTTTTCACATACCTCCTTTACTCTTCCTTTCAGATTTTATATACACTTTTTTGTCTTCTTCCCACTTTTTACCTATTTCAATAATTAGTTTTAGTTATTTTAGTTTTTACACTATTACTCTCTCATTCTCCTCTTTCAGTTTTTATGACACCCAAGACCTAGAATTAGTGCAAGATGGTGTTGTAAGAACCTGAGACTTCCTTGACAATGTTAAAGGTGTTGAGCCCCTCTTTCAATTTTCGCAACTTAGTATTTTAGAAAAAAACTTTTCCAAAACATTAATTTCATTGTTTCGAAAAATATTTTTCAGAATAGTGAAATTAGTATTCTAAAAATTATTTTTTTGAATTTTGTTTTTTACATACTTTCAAAAGTACTTTTCAAAACACTAATTTTACTATTTCGGAAAAAACTTTTTCAAAATTATGTAAAATAACACATTTTCAAAAATTCGGGAATAATAAAATTAGTATTCTAAAAAATATTTTTCAAAAGTGTGTTGTTTTACCAAAATCCGAAAAGTTCTTTTTAGAATATAAAATTTAGTATTGCAGAAAATACTTTTTGGATGTATGTAAAAAATGCAATTATAAAAAATACTTTTTGAAACACTAATTTTACTATTTCAGAAAGTACTTTTCAAAATACTAAAATTAATATTTCAAATTTCTAGAATAATAAATTTAATGTTGAGGTTTTTAGAACTATGAAAGGGGAGGAAGTGTTCAAAGAAAAAATGAACATTTGGTTTGGTACCTTTGACACTGTTGATGAAGTTGTATGTATTTACCACACCATTGCGTACTAGTTCTATAATATGAATACTGTGAAAACTGAAAGAAAGAATGTAAAAAGAGAGTAATGTGAAAAGTAGGAAAAAAATAATATATGTATATAAAAACTAAAAAAAAAAAGAAAAAAGAATGAGATATGTGAAAAATAAAGAAAAGCTACTAAAAATTGAATATTGATAGTGTATTATAAAAAATTAGAATATTATAAAAATTTCTTCTAAAAAATAAAAGAGGTTTATTTATAATAAACAAAAAGGAAGTATATCATGAAGCTTCTTTTTGTGGTTTAAGTTGTTAATTGACTTGTAGTGCATTCTTGATGTGCCACTTTTTTTATATATGTTTTAATGCGCGTTTATTAGTTTTTAATTTGTTTTATATATATATTGATTTCATGTAATAACCATTATTCACTAGTCAGTATAACATTAATTAACTACACAAAATGTTTTATATATCTTAATACCCATTTTATAAATTGTCTTTAGAACTAACAAGCGGAAATATGTTTATTTTTAATTTAAGCTAAATTAATTTTTTTTGTCTGTCTTTTATTGAATTAGTTCAACTTGATTTCTTATCATTAAAAGTTGAATTTGATTCTTTATTTTTAATGTTGTTCTCTAAATTCAATATAAACTAATTACGTTACTTTCTTGTATATGTGATAGCTTATCACACGTATCATTTTATTTATTGCACCACGTGTATAAGAATGTATCATTGTTACTTTATGCTGTATGGAAAGATAATATTACACTGTTTTTAAAAATCAAAGAGGAAATAAAGAAAGGTGACAAGCGTCACATGTTAGAGAATGACGAAAACAATTTGATAAAGAAGTTGAAAAGAATGAACAAGTATGATCCAAAATTGGGATAATGATGGCAACAAAAGATGCTTCTACATGTTTCCACCACCATGCAGAAGAAAAGAGACTGATCTTCATCAATTTTGCAGCGGTGGTAGATGAATTTATAACTCAACCAAATTTTTAATTAATGTTTTTTTTATTTATAGTTTTTATACATTTGTTTTACTTTTTCAAAATAATCATAAACCCAAAATTTTTTTTGATTAAAATCAGAAACCACTTTGAAGAATTTTTGATAAAATCAACTGTCTCTTTTAAACAAAATTAATTTTATTATTGTAAATACACATACAATTAACTCCTATTTGGAAAAGTTTCCAAAAATAAAAATCGCTAGGTTTTGTTTTTAAAGATGGTGGTTAAATTATTTTATAGTATACTATTTTTTTTAATATGTAACAAATTAGCCCTCGTTCATTTTCGCCCATCCTTTTCGTGGCTCCATGAAATTTCTAAATCCTATTAATACATGCAACCTAAATTTCTTAATATGTGATCTTTTTATGTTTTAAGCGATAAATATATTCTTTATCTCACCCAGAAAAAAAAGAAGAAGAAGAAAGATTATAAGTATTTTATTTATTAACGTACAATGAAAAATAATAAATAAAAACAATATTTAACTACTAATGTTTATGTTATCTTAGTGTCAAATCACTAGAGTTGATTTAATGTCGAAGGTTAAAGTAGTATGTAAACAAAATTATAAGTTTTAACCATGTTATTATTATTATATTTTTTGTTGAAATTATTTTTTTGTCCTATATATAATATAAGGCTCTTCCAATTAATTTACATCTTTAAAAAGTTGATTAATTTAATTCAAGATGATCTATTTGTTAATAATTTTTTAAGTTATTTTTTTAAAAGTATCTTTTAACATTTTTAAATGATCATTTTTTATCATTAAATTTGTTGAAATTAATCATCTTTCTTTTTATTTGATTAATTAATGTTTAAAAAGAAAACATTAATTATCTATTCATCTTTTTCAATTCTAATAAATTAGAGAAAAAATTTATCTCATTAATTTATAATATTTATTATATTTTTGCCTAAAATAAGTTAATGAATTAAGAATATTATGATATAAAAATTAATGCAAGAGACAACTAAAGATAATATTGTAAAAAGACATAAGGATAAAGGTAACAATAATATTAAAAAATTAAAAAAGTTTCATCTTTTTATATTTTTATAATTTAATCCCTAAAATTAAAGATTTATTTATAATCCTTAAAATTTAACATAATATTTTTTATATTCTTGATATACATGGATGATGGTATATATATAAAAAATATATATATATAATGTGATATGAACTCTTTACTGATCACAAATTCAATATTTGAATAAGAATTATTTTTTTATATATATATTGTAAGAAAATATAAAAATTAAAAAAATGTGAATTGAGATAATAAAAAAAAACCTCACGATTTTCAACTTTAAATTAATAATAGTTAAATATATAAAGATTTAAGTTTAATTTTCATTACGATTATCTTTATAATCTTTTATATCTTTATAAAAAATCAAAAATTAATATCAAAATTTTATGAACCGAAATCAGGATTCAAGAATTAGTTACGAAATATATTTTTCTATGGTGATTATAAAGTGCATTCTGTTAATTAATTATATAATTTCTCGTTTTTTTTTAAAATGTAATTGAGAATATGTAGTATTGATTGTATACAAATTAGAGCATGCTTTCTATATATACATATTCTAAATTAGTTTTATTTATTAGCCAGCACAATGTGCATTTTCCACAATTATATTTATTTATCTAGTATTTTCTTAACACCTAATAAATAAAATATTTAATAAAAAATAAACATAATATCTTATGACCATAATAAAAATGGAATATATTTATTTAATTAAAAGGAATTTATAGGACAAGCTTGAATTAAACAAACACCAAGAAATGTATTTAAAACATAATTTAAGAAAATAAAATAAAAAGGTATATTGATAGAAAAAAAATATTATGTTAAAAATTTTTTTACCATTTTTTTAAGCAAGACTGACCATAACAAAAGTGAAAGTATTGTCCTTTAATAAATTTTATAAAGTTAAACGTTTTATTTATCAGTACAGAAAAACCTTTATTAATAAAGTCGATAGAATTTGATGATGCCAATCTTTTAGGCTCACAATCTCTATATAAGCTACCAAATAATATGATTTCAACAAACATGGAATGAGATGAATGACAAATATTGAGTATTTAACTCAGTTTTGTAAAGTGTATGAGTTGTTTTAGATTTTTTTTTACTTCGATTCTTAAAGATAAGAAAATAAAGTAAATGTTCAATTTGGTTTTAAAGATGCTGTTATATTACTTCTTAAAATTAAAAAATATATATATAAAACAAGTCTTTAAAAGGTATAAAATTATAATCACATTAGTTTAAATATAAAAAAGTGTGACTAAAGTGATAATATATTCATAAATCAAAATGATTATAAGTAGTTTAATTTAATGGCTTACTTAACAATTTTTTAGTTTTAAAGATAATTTAACAAGTATAATTCTATATGTCAAAGAAAAATTGAATATACAAAAAAAAATTAATGTAACAATCTTTTTCAAATTCAGAAACTAAAGTGAATGCTTATTCCAATATATATATATATATAT